AATGCTGCCTTATCAGACGTAGGTGAGAAAGGTGACAGTTTTCCCAGACCACTGGCACCACCAGGGATGTCTTACCCCGGTTGACCTACACCATCTGTCAGGAGATAACGTTTGCCTCTCAGGACTGGAAAGGGGGATGTGAGGAATGATCGAGGAACACCTCAAATAACAGAAAAGAACAAGAAAAAGAAGAACTTCCGCTTCCAGCTCTGATGAGCTAGTTTGTTACAACCACTTTTGTTATTACTTACAGAGAATTGTAATTTGGATTGTTTTCTAGGGGATTTTGCGCTTTGTCCTGAGTGAATAACTCAATAAATTCTTATCACACATGTTACAGGGCAGGGATCAGCTCGGGTTTTGAGTCACTGACCCAATATGGCTATATTAGGCCAATAATGTCTCCAGCATCCCTGCCCTTTTTGTGTACATGTAGCCAGGGAATGCCCCAGCCGCAGTTGACTGAGCAGCAGTGGGCAGGAATGACAGCTTCCTTCAAGGTCTGAACCCAAGATCGGGCCAAACCCAAACTCATCCCCTATTTCTGGGCAAAGCCTGAAGCAAGAGGCTGATGTAGTAACTGCCATTAGGTTAATTGCTTTTAGTATAAATAGAAACAGAGGTCACCAGTACACCATGAATCCATAATCAATAGTGGAAATTATTATTTAACGTGATCAAATCACAATAATTGCAAAGGTAATGTTCGTAGGCCATTCAGGAACCCTTCCTCAAGCATACCTTGAAACGCTGCATTTATTGTGATGTGATCGCTTTCAATAAACATTTGGACTATTGATAACGGATCCATGGTGTGTTGGTAGCATCTGTTCTTATCTGTCCCCAGTACGGCCTCTTTCACCCTGCAAGCCCGATCAGGTTCGCCTGTCAGTGTTTCAGGTGGACTTGATCAGATGCTCCATTCATCCTTATGGACAAGCAGGTGGAAAACGAACATGTGTCTGTAGCAATTGTGCGCACAGATATGGACGCGGTCATCCATCTTGTATCATTCTCTCTCCCTCCAATCCCCCTCCCTCAGGAAAGTGGTGTGTGTGTGTGCTGGGGTCACAAGGGCATCCACCGCTGGATACACTTCATGGTTGTAATCCCAATTAGCTGGTGCCCGGGTGTCTGTTAGTTTCTCGATCTGAGATGATCGTAAAGCTATAAACCAGTCCTTCACTGGACATGAAACACATTCCAGAATAGCCGTAAAACATATATCCCATTTAAAAACCATGTTTCATAACTTAAAATAGGGAATACATACAATCGAACAAAGCATATATTCGGATAGCTCAGTTTAATGCGAGTCACCTTATATCTTACACCCCTAGATTACGTCTACCTGAGAGCAGAAAGCGATATCTCTTTAACCGTCACAGGTAGATATGTCATATCTGATATCTAGACGTTCAGATGATTCTGCATATTATCCTACCAGTGGATAGGATGCTCCATGTACCTATGGAAGATTATTGACCATGGTATAAACATGTGAGGGATTTGGTCATAGCAGAGTTCCTCGCCTAAACACCCTCCCCAAATGAGGAGATTGGTTCTCTGCTTTAAGGAGACACCCTGCTGGTGGACTAGAAAATAGGCTGTCAGGCCTGAGAGAAAGAAGAGGAAGAGATCTCCCTTTTAACACCAGGAACCAACTTTGGGAGAAAAGGCACCCTTTTGCTCAGGACCCTTGAATCTGCTTAAACCAAGTACTCTGGCAAGTATTCTACCTCTCTAAACTTCTTTCTGTTATCTCTCTGCTATGTTATTGCTCTCTGTATTTATATATATAGATATATTGGCTACATATTTGTAAATATTTTTATTGCACCCTTTTGACCTTTTTAGTAATAAATCCTATTATCTGAAAAGTGTTGAACTGTTTCTAAAGCTCTTTAATGCAAACTAAAAATCCCTGTCTCTGAAGAGCGCTACTGTGTGTTTTAAAACCTCTAGATATATCTGCCTGCGGTGACAGTGTGTATCCAGACGCTTATTCAAACATCATAGTGTTACTGCTAAGATTGGCGAGTTTTCTCTTCCTCTGTAGAAAAAAGAGATGGTGGCAGTATGAACGGTTGATTGTGTAATTAACCTGACCCAGTAACAATCGTTCTCAGGCTGCGGTACATAGATTGTGGTATATTAGCTGGAAAATCTTTGTGCAGGGTGCAGTTGAGCGTGGTATTGTTACGCACGTGACAGCGCGGTTTAAGATCGGCTAGTCCTTCGGGCACGAGTTGATGAGAAGGGCTGGGGGTCTGACGCCGCAACCGTCACAGTGTCAATTTACACCCACAAGGGTGTGGAAATTTTTTAGAAAACTACTTGTCCAAGGGACTAAATCAGGATCCCAATCTACTGATGCCTCATGACAAAAAAAAGAATTTTAACACCTCCCTGTCTCCAGCACCACACCCTGAGACTAGAATGGAGGGGAGAGACCTTGCAATGTGACGAGTACCGATTGGGTGCTTGTCAGGTAAAGGGCGTGTCTGCCTCTCAACACTCAGCGAGTAAATCAGGCAGCAGCCCTAATGAGAAAAAAAAAAAAAATGTATTCTTTCAGGTTACCTGCGCACACAGAAGCACTTGTATGCTCAATAAAAGCGCATGCTGAGCAGCAAAATCAAGCTTTGGTGTAGCATGAAGATGTGTATCCCGTGAAGATTGGTATCCCCTGCATTAGCTGTGCATAGGCTGGAACCAGGGAAAACAAGCCGAGCACCAACCTAAGCCAAAGATGTACTTGAAGTCACTTAACTCCTTACAATCCAGACTACAACACAAGCAGGGGGTGCTACAGCTGCTGTGAAATCCTGTATCCCCCTGTGTATCCCCAGGCCTTGGCACTGTTAATGATGATGACCCTTGCTTGTGTCATGGTGCCTGAGTTTCTGAATCACGACCATTATAGTTTGGCATGTAAGGCATTAAGTGACTTAGCCCAGCGTTTAGCTTGTTGTCTCTGATTCCAGCACATGCGCAGTTGCTGCAGGGGATACAGAGCTTCAGGTTACAACAGATATTTTGGTTCCACATTAATTCAGTATTATCAGCATTTTTGTTTAATTGGGGACAACTCCACAGCACCCTGGCCCCCTGCTGAACTAGAGAGCTATAAGAATACTCAAAGACCTGCTTGAGGTCCGAAGAAATGACCGATGATAGACTACAACAGTCCTGCAGCGGGGAGCCGGCCTGTTTTATGCCAGAGATTCTGAAGGGCCCTCTGCACACTGGTATACCCTCTCAAGCAGACTATGCAATAAATAGGGATATTTAGTTCACACATATTGCAATACATGTTTAAGCTGGCCAACGGCGTCAAAGTAATCCCTCTATGGCCAGTCCTACTCTGCTCTGCCTACGCAAATGCTACTGTGGACACAATGCCAACATAGGGGAAAAGACAAAGTGGGGGGAGATTTCAAATTAGAAAGCAAATCTTAGTCATCCTTAATACTGGTTTCCTGTGCGATAACACATAGATCGCACTGCCCTCTGATGGCTGCAGCACCCACGAATGTGCTACACACGACCGCGCCACCCCCTGAATGGTACTACACACGACCGCGCCGCCCCCCGAATGGTACTACACACGGCCGCGCCGCCCCCCTGAATGTAGCACACACGGCCGGGCAGTCCCCCTGAATGTAGCACACACGGCCGGGATGTCCCCCTGAATGTAGCACACACGGCCGGGATGTCCCCCTGAGTGTAGCACACACGGCCGGGATGTCCCCCTGAGTGTACCACACACGGCCGGGATGTCCCCCTGAGTGTACCACACACGGCCGGGATGTCCCCCTGAATGTACCACACACGGCTGGCTGCCCCCCTGAATGTACCACACACGGCTGGCTGCCCCCCTGAATGTACCACACACGGCTGTGATGTCCTCCTGAATGTAGTATACACGGCTGTGCCACCCCCCGAATGTAGTACACATGGCTGTGATGTCCCCCTCTATGTAGTACACATGGTTGTGATGTCCCCCCCTGAATGTAGTACACATGGCTGTGATGTCCCCCCCTGAATGTAGTACACATGTCTGTGATGTCCCCCCCCTGAATGTAGTACACATGGCTGTGATGTCCCCCCCTGAATGTAGTACACATGGCTGTGATGTCCCCCCCTGAATGTAGTACACATGGATGTGATGTTCCCCCTGAATGTAGTACACATGGATGTGATGTCCCCTCTGAATGTAGTACACATGGATGTGATGTCCCCCCTGAATGTAGTACACATGGATGTGATGTCCCCCCTGAATGTAGTACACATGGATGTGATGTCCCCCCTGAATGTAGTACACATGGATGTGATGTCCCCCCTGAATGTAGTACACATGGATGTGACGTCCCCCCTGAATGTAGTACACATGGCTGTGACGTCCCCCCTGAATGTAGTACACATGGCTGTGACGTCCCCCCTGAATGTAGTACACATGGCTGTGACGTCCCCCCTGAATGTAGTACACATGGCTGTGACGTCCCCCCTGAATGTAGTACACATGGCTGTGACGTCCCCCCTGAATGTAGTACACATGGCTGTGACGTCCCCCCTGAATGTAGTACACATGGCTGTGACGTCCCCCCTGAATGTAGTACACATGGCTGTGACGTCCCCCCTGAATGTAGTACACATGGCTGTGATGTACACCCCCCTGAATGTAGTACACATGGCTGTGATGTCCCCCCTGAATGTAGTACACATGGCTGTGATGTCCCCCCTGAATGTAGTACACATGGCTGTGATGTCCCCCCTGAATGTAGTACACATGGCTGTGATGTCCCCCCTCTATGTAGTACACATGGCTGTGCTGTCCCCCCTCTATGTAGTACGCATGGCTGTGACGTGCCCCCGCAATGTACTGGACAGCCCCCCCTCTATGTAGTACACAGACCCCCATATGCCGCACTCAGCCCGCTGTCACCGGAAGTAAAGTTTCCCATGCAGGGAATAGGCAGGGAGCCGGGCGGACCCACCTTAGAGATGCTGATCTCCTTGATGACATACTGCCTCCCATCTTCCTTGGCTTTCACCAGGATAGCTTTACCGAAGGAGCCCTCCCCGATCTTACTGACTCTGATGTACTTGTTCATGGTGGGCGGGGTTACCGCATGACTGTCTAGCAGAGCATGGAGCGGCTGGAGCTCTTCGGGCGGAATATACCGCCGGCCCGCTGTGTGATGTTACTGGTTGCTGGGCAGCAAGATGCCAGCCTGTGGCGCACACATGACGTCCGTGACAGCGGAGACGCTTGCAGGGCGGAGGCAGTGATACGTGGGCTGCCATGTTTGTTCCTGGATTTATTGTTAGCGTAGTAGTGCAGCCTTTTTCATCCAGGGTGCCCAGGCACCCATTCCTTGAGGTTTCTTCAGGGGTGCCTTGGCAAAATGCCTAAACATTACCCAAAAATTCTATACAAATCAGAGGTGAATCAAGCCTGCCTTTTAGCTACACAAAGCCACAGGTTTTCATTGTCAGCATTGTAAGACCTGCTAGCTGCCAGCATACCAACAACCAATCATATCAGTTGATAAGGAGGACATTGGTCATCTGCACAGCATCCTTGTTTGACCCTCCCCCGCCTCTCTCTGTCAGCGCTGGGGTCACTTTAGCTGAGGGATGGAGATAAAACTTAGGGAGAAGAGAAACAATGGAATACTAGTCAGTATCAGTGTGCAAAAAACAGAAAATTGAATTTAAATACCGTAATTTTCCTTTCCTGACAAGCGCCATGGCAGCACAGTTGGGTGAGGCCCTGCCCACCCCCTGCCTGACGTAACTCAATTTTTGACCCACCTCAGCCTGGGCGTTCCGTAACTTGTACTACTAAACTGGGCAGGATTTGTGCTGCCATGGAGCTCATCAGGAAAGGGAAATTACGGTAAGTATTGTAATTCATTTTTCTGTTTTCCTGTCGGCTCCATGTCAGCACAGCTGGGATTTAACTAGCCACACATGGGAGAGGAATGCAAAACCAATTTAATTTTGACTGGACGCAGAGGCCAAGACACCCCTGCCAAAATCAGCAGTAGACAAACCCACAGGTTCTATACAATAACGAGTCATGAAGGTAGGAACAGAAGACCATGTAGCTGCCATGCAGATTGTTCCAGGGGCACTCGGCCCACGAGATTGAAACCCCTCTAGTGGAATGTGCTGTGACCTCCTCAGGCACAGGCAACCCTCTCGTTCTGTAAGCTAAAGAGATGGTCTTGACCAGCCATGTAGCGATTACTCTACTAGAAGCTCTCAAGCCTTTCCGTGCACCGTTAGGGATGGTGAAAAGATGATCTGACTTCCTGAGCTTGGAAGTAGTGACCGCATAGTCTCTCAATGAATGTCCAACTTCCAGTGGACTTTGGTCCTGGGAATTTTCCGAAAGAGGCTTCGGGAGTGTAATATCTTTTGTTATGTGAAACCTGGAGGCAACTTTGGGTATGAATCCTAGCATTGGTCTAAGCATGACCCTATTCAGAAAAAATGAAAGAAAGGGTTCTTTAAACCCTAAGGCTGCTAGTTCTGAGACTCTGCTGGCTGATGTTATCACCACGAGAAACGCTGTTTTCAGAGTAAGATCCCATAGTGAGACAGAATGACTGAAGGTGTCTGATGAGAGGAAGTCCAAAACCAGAGGCAAGTCCCATTTTGTGAAAATCAGAGGCTTGGGTGGTCTTTGGCAGATAGCTGCCTTAAAGAACTGAACCACTAAAGAGTCAGATGCCCATAGGGTACCTGTAAAAGACGAGAGGGCAGAAATGTGAGCCTTCAGAGTACTCACAGACAGACCCATAACCAGCCCCGCTTGGAGGAATTCCAATAAGTGGCAGACTCTTGGGGTATCTGGCACAAAGCTGTGCCTGTTTGCAAATTCCATGAACTTGCTCTATATTCTGCTATAGGCTGTGTTGGTGCTGTCCTTTCTGACTCTCATTAAGATATTTGTGACCTTAGCTAAGCATCCTAGATCGATCAGCCTTTGCCATTCAAGACACTGGCCGTCAGCCTGAGTTTCTCCGGGACGGGGTGCTGAATGGGCCCCTGCATTAGCAGATCTGGTGTCGCTGGCAGAAGGTATGGTTCTCTGATGTTCAATGAACTGAGTAGCAGGTACCAGGGTCTCTTTGGCCAATCCAGTATTACTGACAGAACCATCACCCTCTCCCTCTCTGGTGTATTCTGCACAGCAAGCTGAGAATCACTGGAATTGGAGGGAAGGTGTACACAGTCATCAAATTCCATGCCAATGTCAACACATCCAACCCCATAGCTTGTGGGTAACTGATCCTGGAGAAAAAATGAGGTAGTTTGGTATTATCCAGGGAAGCAAACAGGTCTATCTCTGGCAGAAAGGCCCATGCTACTAGGCTCTGAAAACCTGCGGTGTAAGGACCCACTCGTTGTCCAAACTCTGCACAGGGCTCCCCAGCCCGGTTTGCTGGCATCCGATTGGACCACCTGCCACTGTATAGCAAGTAACGAATGGCATTGTAGGAGATTCTGCCGTCTCGACCACCATTCCAGGCTCATTCTCATCTAGGAAGTGATTAGTATCTTCTGCCCAAGATCCTCCAATCTCCATTGTTCTAAGAGCCCCACCTGAAGGGGACATGAATTCCATTGTGCCAATATGACCTTCGGAATAGCCAAGGTCATAATTTCTAACAGCCGCATACATTCTATTGCAGGAAAGTAGAGCCTCTTCTGGGCTATTGACATCGTGTTCAGGATGCATGACATCTTTTCCTCCGGTAATGCCACTGATGTTGCCCGAGTGTTCACTTCTGCGCCTAAGTACACAAGGTTCTGGGTTGGCACAATGTGACTTTTCTCCCGGTTGATTAACCATCCGAAGTTCTCCAGTGTCTCCATGGTTAACTTCCGGTGTGACAAAAGTGTCTCTCTTTGTCTTGATTCAGGAGCAGAATGTCGTCCAAGTAGTGATATATTTGCACTCCCTGTGACCTCAGGTATGTCACTAGGGCCAGAAGAATCTTCGTGAATACTCTGGGTGATGTGGTCAGCCCAAAGGGCAAAGGGTAGGCATACAAGCTGTAGTAGTGGAGCTGCCCCACCGCAAACCGTAGAAATTTCTGGCAGACTGGAGCTACTGGTACATGGAAATACACGTCCACGAGGTCCACTGATAGAAGCCAATCCCCTGGCTAAATGATTTTCATAATTGTCTGGAGAGATTCCATTTTTAATCTGTATTTCTTGATATACATGTTCAGCCTCCTGAGGTCTATCACCGGTCTCCATGCTCCCGAATTTTTCTGCATTAGAAATAGAGGCGAATAGATTTCAGAAAAACATTCTTGCTGGGGTACTGCAACTATCACTTCCTGGTTGAGGAGGGTTTCTGTGCATTCCCATAAAAGATCCTGCTTTTCTCTTGCCAAAGGTAATTTTGTCGGGACAAAGATTCTGCAAGGATGCCTCAGGAAATTCCAAGCATGGCCGAATTGGATTGTCGAAATTATCCAAGGCTCTTTTACCTCTTGTGCCCACAGCTGATGGAACTTGAATAATCTGGCTCCCACGCGACAAGTGTGAGCTGGCAGATAGTCAAAAAGACTTCTGGGACTCCTGTCCTAGAAACGAAGTTGGCCACTTTGACTTGCAGTTCACAGCCGTGTTGGACCATTGACGACAAAATTCTCTCCCTGGCCTGTAAGACTTAGCATCTCTACCTCCTTGGCGAATGTTTGTATGCTGCACCTCTTCTGCAAAGCAGCCTCTGTTCTTGAGGACTAAACCCTGACTTTCCCCCTATGGCTTTTGCGATAACAGTGTCTAATTTATTTCCAAACAGGGACTGCTCTTCAAATGGTATCTTACACCATCCTTGTTTGGAGGCTGGGTCTGCCACCCAGGACCTGAGCCATAGGGCTCTTCTGGCTGTTACTGCATTAAGTATGATCCTGGCCAACATCTTAATTAGGTCATTGGATGCCTCTGCCATAAAAGAAGCTGTTAGCTTCAAATTGTCAAAGGAGGCCAAGACCTCGGCTTTGCTCAGGTCACTTCCCACTGCCACTTCTGACTTCTGAACCCAGGACTCCATGGCCTTTAATTCGCCGCCAAAGCCATAGAAGGTTTACACACCCCACCAGCAAGTGTGTAAATCTTTTCAAGATCCACATCCACTCTTCTATCCAACACATCCCTGAATGTCACGGTGTCATTTAGCAGAAGGGTTACATGTCTAGCGAGGTGCATAAGTTCTGCGTCCACCACCGAAGGCTCCTCCAAACTCTCAGACTTGAAGGGGTATAGCTTTGCGAAACGATTCTTAAAAGTGATTCTTTTATCCGCTTGGTTCCACTCATCAGTAATTATGTTCATGAATGGGAAATTCACTCCCTCCATTTTCATGTTCCTGAAAAACTTCCTCTGCTTCTTCTGTGGTTCTTGCCCAGTGTCTTCCCAAAGCAAAGCCTGCCTAATATCTTTCACGAAAGGCTGGACCAAGGCAAAATCAAAATCGTCATAACGGCCCTCATCCTCCTACGAGGAAGCAGTGTCTGAGGCCAAAGGTTCCTGGGGCTCTGGAATCACCTGACTAGCTGGCGGAATCTGCAGAGACAAGGAGTGCGAGGTGGATGGAACTGGACTGGCTGAAGCCTGCAACTGCGATGCAAACGCCCTTTGCATCTCCAAAAATGCCTGCTTCATTAGAGATACCATCTCTACCTTATCGGGTTCTTGGTGTTTGGTTGCTTCTTTGAAGCAAGTCTCACAAGCTGTCTTGCCTGGCATGGCTCTTCCAGGGCATGCCCAGCATCCTCCTGGTCTGGGTTGGTCATGATGCGACTCTCTGCCATATTGTGATGGGGAGTACTGACCCCTAGAGGGTGAACGGGAACGCGAGGCCTCTGTCCTTCTCCAGGAATGTTGGTCTTCCCTTGCAGATGACCGTCTCCTACTCCTTTCTGAGCGTCTTCTTTCTGATCATCAGGAAGGATCATGACCAAGGCCGGAGTTGCTGGGGCAGCAGAGACAAGACAAAATTAGTCAATGACTCGAAAAAAACAAAAAAAGAATAAGCACATCTGGGGACGTTTCCCCTACCTTCTTTGAGAATGCTGGTCTTTAGAGGGGGTATGTAAGGGACCGCCCGGCGGTACCACTAGCACTCCACTGATCGGATGTTCTCAGCGCACGGAGTCTAAGC